ACTAATTCTGTCCAATATAGGCACAAGATAAGATGGAATTCTCAATTACCCTTTCTGGCCAGAGACATTCTTGGTAATGATGAGATATTCAAAATTATTCTTATCTATTGTCTCAATATGATCTCCATTTCGGCGGATATCTTTAAAACTCAACAAGTTCCTCTTGCACTTGGAGGAGAACATTGCATTCTCTATGATAAGTATTGTTCCCTTAGGCAGAGTTATAGTAGCTCTTCCAGAGCCTTCAATTAATTTACTTACAAAAAATTGTAGTAACATCTGCCTTACACATACTTAAATGAGAGAAATATTTCTTTTCTTTGAATATTGTATGTGTCGTACATGAATCAATTAAACAAATATTTTTACAATTGAACTTTGATCCAAGTTTGTTTTGTGAGATATCCATATTTTCTTCCCATGGTTTGACATACAAAAGAAATATACGAATAAATATTAGTATTTTCAGAGATAAAGAAAAAGAGACAAAGTGATGTCAATAACTCAATAATGACTTATTCAATAAGTGTGATGATAATTTTCCGTAAGACACAATCTTTGATGGAACAACTTAATTAGAAAACAAATATTGCATTTTAATAAAATATTTGTATAGTGTCAGTTGATTTAAAAGCTTTAGAAAATAGTTTCACGCTAGTTTGTAAGACACTTTTTCGTTTNACGACCCCAATCCTTTTCCTTCATCTTCAATGTCTCAAGGAAGCTGTTCTTCCCAAATTAGGTGTCGTTGTGGCATCTTTGCAAACCACTTCACTTCAACGACTCCATTAAACCCTGGAAGGCAATTTTTTAAATGTCCGAAGCCTAAGGTTAGTGATTGTGTAACAAAAGATCTAAATTAGTAACTGTTTGCTCTAAATTATAGTCTAATAATAACGATCTTAGTTTCTTCTCTGATTTTTTTATTTTCGACAGAATCGTTCTTGTGGTTATTTTGAATGGGAAGATGAAATCTCGTTCTCCAGTGATTTGGTTACAACTAAAGATGTAACATCATCTTGGGAAGCTATTAAAAATGATAAGGATAAATTGAAAGAAGAATTAATTGCCCTGAAGGCTCTACACAAAGCTGAAGCTGCAAAAGTAACGAAATTGGAAGAGAAGGTTTTGAAGACGAGGATGATGCTTATGATCTCATGGGCACTTTTTGTTGGATTTGTTGCGGCGTCGATGATGAAGTGAAAGTTGATGAATCTTGTTGATGATGCTAATGAATATGTTTTGTTGTCAATTTTATTATCGTTTGGAATTGGATGAGAAGGTGTTATGTATGTTGTTTTGAACCTTTTATATTAGACCTTGTAATCTTAGTTAATGTAATTCGAATATATTAGTTGTCGAGAATTAGTTAATGTAATTCCAAGTTATGAGCTTGTAACCGTTTACATTAGAGCTTATATTAGTTAATGTAATCATAGAAGTTGTCAGTTTTTTTGTGATGAATTTTTCTGTATTATTAGTTGATGTTACGGGTTGACGAACATAGCATTTATGTCAAAAAGTATGGACAATTTCACAACTCCATTCCCAACCTAAAATCTGGACAGTTTCACAAAGGGTTTTTATGCCAAATTTTCCAGAACTTTTCTCCTCTTACTGGTTGTAACTTATGTGAGTAAATTTGGAGATAAGTCTCTTTAGTAAGGTACCAATGAATCTGACTTAGAGGGTCCACCTTCTTGTGCAATAATGCACATATTGCATGAGGACATGGAATGCCACAAAGATCCCATGCCCTGCAGCTACATTTCTTTAATCTCAAATTCACAATGTGCCTGTCACTATTTTCAGTCACCTCATATCCATGGTCTGCACTGCTATTAACATGACACTTCAATGCAATCCTCATGAATTGGTTGTACAACTCCATGGTTTTAAGACTGTATTCATTTCCCCATGACATCACCTCAGCTTCATGTTCAGTAATCATATTCATCACCTTGATTCTAATATCCTCAAGTATCTTAATGATTTGTTTGTGCCTTGCTTGCAAGATCCAAGCATTTAATGACTCATTCAAGTTGTTGTCTACAACTTGGTTCTTGCAAACAGTATCAAGGAATGCCCTACTCCAAAATTTTGGTGGATACTTCAACAAATCCTCCACAGCTTCCTTTCCATCATCATCTACTTCACCCATATTCTTTATCTGATCTTTGAAGTCCTCTTCATAAGTACTCCATGCAGCCCACCAAAGCAATTTTTTAAATTCACCAGAACCCCATCTCTTGCACCAATTTGCTTCTATATGCCTTACACAAAATCTAAAGTGTGACTCTGGAAGAACAGTTTGGATTGAGTCAATCAACCCCTACAAAAAATAGTAGATAACATCAGATAACAGTACAAAGAAATCAACAAAATAACTGAAAATAACTGTACAAATAAACAGTACATACCTTCTGCATATCTGATATAAATGTGATCCCTTCACCCATTTTCAGGTCTAGTGAAGTCTGTAGGTGACCTAAGAACCACTTCCAAGTAAGTTTTGTTTCTTTTTCAACAATAGCCCAAGCCAATGGATAGAAATGATTGGCAGAATCTTGACCAACAGCCACCAACAGCTGACCTTTAGCCTTCCCTTTCAAAATTATTCCATCCAATCCAATGAAAGGCCTCAAACCACTCTTAAACCCAGACTTCATTGTTTGAAAACAAATATACATCCTTAAAAACCTCATTTTCCCTTCTTCAAGAGCGTCTTTTGATAAGTTAATTATGACATCACTCCCAGGATTGGTAAGTTTCAATTCATTGGCATAGGCAACAAGCTTATTATATTCATCTGTAAAACTACCTTCAAGTTTCTCCAAAATCATTCTCTTTGCCCTTTTGCACTTAGATTCACTAACATTTACATTAAATGCAGCTTTCAAGCTTGCCCTCATCTCTTTAACCTTTATTTTGGGGTTATCTTGCAAGCCTATTTTAAAGTAATCAGCTATTGTATTTGCATCAACTCTTTGATTTTCAAATGCAGGTTCACATGTGTGCTCAGGCTCTAAATTCTTGAATTTAACCCCACCCCGTGAAGAATCCTTAGATATATGGCAAACAAAGGGGCAGTCACCAACACAGATGTACCTAAGCCTAGTAGGGTCACTTTTAACTTGCTGCAAGTCATACCCATTTGCAAGAGAATACATGTTGATCATTTTTCTAGCTTCAGGTATATCTTTAAATGTCATTGACCTATCTAACTCTTTATAGTCAGTTAACTTATCATTTGTTACCCTCCTCTTTTGTAAAAAAAGTTGCTCCAAATCATCAGAACTTAATTCAGGAGAATCAGAATCAGTAGCAGAATCATTTTTCTCACTTTCATTATCACTACAATCAGTAGCAGCTTCAACTTCTACTGTGTGTGACTCAATGTGAGTGACTATATTAGGTACATCAAGTGCAGGTTCACAGTCTTCTACAACAAACAAATTAATCATATTACAATGTTCATTAACAAGGTCCAATAGAGTCCTAATCCCAACATCCCCATCTATTTCATAATATCCACCACCAAGACCCCTTACTATTAATTGCTGCACCCCTATATACCCAAACTTTGTATCAAATTCATCAACTAAATCAGCATAAGAGAGCAAGTCAGAGTCAAAACCTTTATTGATGTGCACATACTTCTCTTTATACAGCGGGTGTGGCTTACTACTCCATTCCCCACCATGATGAAAAACTAACTCAACTAGAACCATCTATAAAAGGCTGCAGAGTAACCATGAATAAAGTTATTACAGCCTACCATAGTAAATGCATAAAGAAGTAAAAAAAGACAAGATGTACAGAAATAATAAATAAACATGTAAGGGAAAGCTTGAATAAACAAAACAGTTTGATAAATAAAGGGAATAAGAAAAAAGGTACACGGGTAGATGAATAAAGAAACAAAAATGAATGAGGTACTACGATAAAGAAAGGGACACAAGCATGCATATGGGGGACCACATAATAAACTATCAAACTTAGAGTCCCACCACAATAAAATAAGGACAAAGCATATATGTAAGAGACCCACATGAGCATCATCTTCAAAGTAAATGCAGGTGAAACAGGGGACCAAATAACAACAAGTCAGCTATTAACAAATAGCTCAAATCCTTTTTCAGTTAAAAAACCCTAACCGACCCTTCTTTAAAAAACAAAAGGGACCACACATACTTCAAATCCTAAACAAGAGAAATGTCTTCTAAAATAAGTACCAAATATCATCAATTCCACCAATATACCCTAACCGACCAGTAGAATCAGACAAATAATTAGGGTATAAAGGTGAAAGTCACGTGCAAACACAAACAACGACAAAAATCCAGTCAATATCTTAGACAAGAAACACCCTAAACGACAAATCACATATCTGAGACAAGAAAATCCTATACCACGAAGCATAGTCTAAAACCCTAACTTTAACATAAAAGAAATACGAACCCCAAGACAAAAATACTTCATTTATAAACAACAACCATATGAAACTAGTAGAAAAGTTCAGCTTTTGGGGGAAAATCGTACCTTGGACAACATTCAACATTGAAAAAATCGGATTTTCTTTTGAACCTTCCACACTCTTCTCTCTTGTTTCTATCGAAGTGATGCAGACCAAATGACACTCTTTGCTAATTTGGACGGGTCTATCTTATTTATTTAGTGGGCAAACGGGTCATGGGTCACGGGTAAGAGACGGATAGTAAATGGGTGTTGTGGGGTTTTAAATAGGTGGGCCCGCTGATGTGGAAGCTGACATGACAGCTGATTTGGATAAAATTCATGTGGTCAGCTGCCACGGTGTATTGACGTTAGGGTTAGGGGTATTTATTCAAAGTTCATTAACGGTAGGGACAAGAATGGTAGGAAAGTATAACGGGTGGCACAAGCAACCAATAAACAATAGTAGAGGGGTAATTTTGACCTTTTTCCCTATATTTAATAATCTGAATATTTTTCTTCCTCTGTTTTATCTTTTTGTTCTTTACTCCATCTTAATACGATTACCTCTTCAGTTTATCTCATTCAGTTTTGTTTTGACAATTACTACGAAAACATCTTAAATTTTGGAAGAGAGAACAACTAAAATTGTAGCTTTGTGGGCAAAATGAGAGAAAAAATTGCAAAATGATTTAAGAAAAATAATAAAAAGTCGTTACTTCATATCTGTCCTCTACTTTTTTCACCGATCACTTCTTTTTTTCTTCTTCTTATTTCTCCCTCTTTCCTACTCACGAAATTCATCAAAATTCTACAAGAACATTTTCCTACACACGCTAGTCTGAAAAAAATAAGAAAATTTAGAAAAAGATTCTCACAAAGTTAGTACAAACTTTGAAAATTTTTTATATTGAATGCCAAATATAATAGAAAAACAAATAAGAGAGACATCTTAAAGAATGTTTTCTATTCCACTAAATCTAATTTACATTAAAGTTTTCGATGCAAAGACTCATGTATAGAGTTCTCAATTAGTCCAATCATAAGAGTCTTAGGATCATCCTCTTGCAATAAGTTGATTCAACAAATGGTATGAAAGAGGAGTTGGATTGATTTTTTTTTAATAAACATTGATACCACAGAAATTGAGCAAAAGGAAAATTAAATTTGAAGGCAGAAGTAATACAAATAGAATTATCACAATATTTCTACGAAAAATCTAACGTTATAAGGTAGACATAATACTTCTCTTGAGAACTTGCTCCAATTATTTGTATCCTACCATCCAACTCAATGAAGGAAGTGAAACACAAATTAAAAAAAGGAAATAGAGAGTTATCATAGTTTCTAAAAGAGTCAAAAGTTACGAAGAAAATCGAACTCATCACTTTAGAATACTTATTACTATTTGTATCCTATCATCGAAAGAGGAACTAATATCATTTTGTCCTACAAATAATACACAATCCAATCTTAAGAAGAAAATGCAACACAAATCCAGTGCTTACATTATAGGAATGATAAGTAACAATGAAGCAAAAATGAAAGAATTACAGCCCATGTCACTTGGCCTAATAGTCCAACCGAAAATGGCCCACATTTTAAACTTTTACCCTATTTAGTCCATATTGTACATAACTTGAAAAAAACTTTTCAGTCTTTAGCCCACTATTAAAGATATACTTTTAGGGTTTTTATTGTTTTCTTCTTTCTTCATTCCCTTCTCTCTCTCACCGCCTCTCACTTCTTTCTTTCTAACCCACATAAATCCCTCATCCTCTCTTAACCTAGCCCCCGCTATTCCCCCTCCTCTATCCCCCCAACCCCCACACCCACACGCAGTTCTGCCATTAATGGCTCGAAGAACGCTCGAAGAAAGACTCTGTCGTCCATGGTGGCAAGCAGAAGAGTGAAGAAGATTTTTGAAAGAAACATGAAAATACACACAGATCTGAAAATAAATAGCTCTCAAACTTGATTTGCACCAAAAAATAACCACTAATATTGGAAGATTTTAAAGTTTGAAGTTCTGGTCATTATTATTATGACCTTGAAGTCTCGAATCTGAAATTGGGTTTGGATAAAAATCATAACTATGTAGCAGTTTGTATCAACACTGTATACTAGTGTATAATTGTGTATATGGATATACAAACACCTCTTATACACTATTATACATGTTTATACAAAGTTATACAGTATTGTATAATGGTGTATAAATGTGTATATTTGTGTATAATATTGTATAATATATATTTTTTCAGTTTATAAGGATGTATATACAATGTTAGTGTGTAAGAGGCCTCTACAGAAGTTTGACACTTCCTTCTCTTCTTCTTTTTCGTGTAATGTGTTGTATAAGCGTTGGAGGGATTCTACAATTCATTTACCAAGTTTTTATTTTTCTTTTATCCTGTTGGATTGCTTCAGCAATTGCATATAAAAGTGTTTGAATTTCTTACCATCAGATAATATGTATTATTCANAGATAAATGATGCATTCCCCGGCGAGCAACTTCTTTCAGTGTCAATGTGTGACATGCCATGGTTCGCGGACATCGCCAACTTCATTGTAACCGGAACTGCCCCGTCTGAGCTCTCTTCCAACCAAAAGAAGAAACTCAAACGGGATAGTTTGAATTTTTATTGGGATGATCCATACTTGTGCAAAATTTGCACGGATGGTGTAATTAGAAGATGTGTCCCGGAAGGTGAAAAATTGAGCATATTGGAGGCTTGTCACTCTTCCCCTTATGGTGGCCATCATGGAGGGGTGAGGACAGCTTCAAAGATCTTGAGTTGCGGTTTCTATTGGCCAACGTTGTTTAAAGATGCTAGTGATTTGGTGAAAAGATGTGATGCATGCCAAAGGGCCGGCGAAATTTCAAAACGGGATGAGATGCCTCTCAATACGATTCTCGAGGTGGATATTTTTGATGTTTGGCGCATCGATTTCATGGGTCCATTCATGAGCTCTTGTGGGAACACTTATATTCTCGTGGCGGTGGATTATGTCTCAAAATGGGTCGAAGCCGTGGCTTTACCCAACAATGAAGCCCGAAGTGTTGTAGCATTCTTGAAAAAGAGTATCTTCACAAGGTTTGGTACCCCTCATGCTATCATTAATGATGGGGGGTTTCACTTTTGCAACAAGGCTTTTTATTCATTGCTTGCTAAATATGGAGTTAATCACAAAGTGACCACCCCCTATCATCCTCAAGCCAGTGGTCAAGTGGAAGTGTCCAACCGAGAAATAAAGAGTATCTTGTCCAAGACGGTAAATGCTAATAGGACCGATTGGTCGAAGAAATTGGATGATGCTCTTTGGGCCTATCGGACGGCTTACAAGACCCCAATCGGTATGTCTCCGTATCGGTTGGTGTTTGGTAAAGCTTGCCATCTTTCGGTGGAATTGGAGCACAAGGCTTTGTGGGCATTGAGAAAGTTGAACTTGGAATCGGATGTTGCGGCAAATCTCCGGGTTGAGCAACTAAATGAGCTTGATGAGTTTAGATTTCATGCCTACTCCTGCTCATCCTTATATAAGGACAAGATGAAGTACCTTCACGACAAATATGCTCGGGGAAAGGAATTCAAGGTTGGTGATATGGTTCTTCTCTTCAACTCCCGGTTGAGGTTATTTCCGGGAAAGCTCAAGTCAAAGTGGAGTGGGCCATTTGAAGTGGTATGTGTGACTCCTTTTGGTGATCTTGATCTCAAGAACAAGAATGGTGAAGTATTCCGGGTAAATGGGCATCATGTCAAGCATTATTTGGGAAAGTTTGATGACAGCCACGTNCTTTAATGGATGCCCATTTGAGTTTTCTATAATTCGTCTCATCATAATTGATCCAGGGTGTCCCAATCGATCATGCCAAATAATAATAGGTGAATTTGACTATAATCACACCTTAAATAATCACCTTCTTGTGTAGTTTTAATGCTAAAAGTGATGACAAAATGCACTTATTAGTGCTTTTCATGATTTGTAGGTGATATATGTATAAAGACGGCTAAGGAGCAGTTTTGGAGTCAAAAGTGATGAAAAAGAGGCCAACTGTGAAATTTCCTAAGTGACCCGTGCAAAAACAGGCCGAAGATTCAGAGAACTGGATCCACCGCGGTTCCACCGCGACCGCGGCAGAACCGCGGCAGCGGCAGTAAACTTCAGGGACCAAAGTGTCAATTACGGGATTTTTAGACCTAAACCCTAGTTAAAACATTAGACTTCGCCCAAGAGAGGCATGTATTGATTTTTTAGGTTTCTTAGCAAGGA